CCAGAGCGACCGCACTGCCCTGGCCCGTGGTGCCCTCCACGCAACCAGGTCAGCTGGGATAGGCACCATGGATGGGTCTCTCCATCCTCGGCGCGGGGACTGCCACTTCCTCCAGACATCCCACAGCTCGGCAAGGTCGACCATACTCTCGGCATTGTGCTCGATGAAGGCCACCAAGCCGAAGATGTTGTCCGGCGCAAAGTCCCTGGCTGTCCAATGGGTCCGCAGCGGCTCAATGAGCAGCAAGTCCAGCTTCGCCTCGCCCAGGCGATCATAGTAGGACTGCCACGCCAGCCGCGGGTCACTCCCGGGCAGAGCCAAGACAGCTGAGCTGTTCCACGTACCAATCCATGGGAACTTGAATCCTCCCAAAAACTCGGTACACCTCCTACAGTTTTCCTCCATGCAGGGTGACCGTCTGAAAGGGGGAAGTCCCTCCACCCCCAAACCAATGGGATGAGGGGGGAAATGGTCGATCTGACACACTGAGGACCATAACCTGGTGGCTTGAGACACCAGGCCCCGCTGGAGCAGGCCTTCCACGTGGGTCTTGAACTCGTAGTAGGCCGCCGCGTGAAGGATCTCAGCGTCGGTGTGGGCAGCCTCATTCCAACCCGGCCGAACGACAACGGTGGCCCTGGGCATCAGGGGGTATCTCCCACCTCCGTAACCTCTGTACGCTAGGGTAACTCCCTAGTAGAGGAACGAATAACCACTTACCCTAGGGTGACTCCCTAGTAGTGGTGTGGGTACCCCGAACAAAAAGAAGAATGATGAAGCCAGTTTGGCTCAGACTTGAGCCAAAATGGATTCATCAACTTACACACTCACCCTAATGATAATGCACACCCAGTGCCTGCCAAACACGATGCATACATATACATATATCTCTCTCTCTCTCTCTTTCATCTGTCTATCCGTCTATCTATCTATATCTATCTATCTGTCTGTCTGTCTGTCTATCTATCTATCTATCTCTTTCTCTCTCTCTCTATCTATCTCTCTCTCTCTCTCCCCCTCTCTTGCTTTCATCTGTCTATCTGTCTACCTGTCTACCTGTCTACCTGTCTATCTGTGGTGCAGTGTCATTCAGTGTAATGTAGTGTAGTGTAATGTAGTGTCGTGTAGTGGAGTGTAGTGGAATGTAGTGTAGTGTAATGTAGTGTAGTGTAGTGTAATCTAGTGTAGTAGAGTGTAGTGGAAGGTAGTGTAGTGTAGTGTAATGTAGTGTACTGTAGTGTAATGTAGTGTAATTTAGTGGAGTGTAGTGGAGTGTAGTGGAGTGTAGTTGTGTAGTTGTAGTTGTAGTTGTAGTTGTAGTGTAGTGGGGTGTAGTGTAGAGTAATGTAGTGAAGTGTAGTGGAAGGTAGCGTAGTGTAGTGTAGTGGAGCGTAGTGTAATGTAGTGTAGTGTAGTGTAGTGTAATTTAGTGTAGTGGAGAGTAGTGGAGTGTAGTTGTGTAGTTGTAGTTGTAATGTTGTGGAGTGTAGTGTAGTGTAATGTAGTGTAGTGTAATTTAGTGTAATTTAGTGTAATTTAGTGTAGTGGAGTGTAGTGGAGTTTAGTTGTGTAGTTGTAGTTGTAATGTTGTGGAGTGTTGTGTAGTGTAATGTAGTGTAGTATAGTGGAGTGTAGTGTAGTGTAGTGTAACGTAGTGTAGTGTAGTGAAGCGAAGCGACGCGACATCTGAACCTCCAAAAGTGGTCCACACCCCTGGTGCTTTTAACATTTTGACTTCGAAATGTGCTTCGCGCCACAACGGCGTGCACTTTTTCGACATCTCAACTTCCAAAAGTGGTCCGAACATGGTGTGTTTTGCACATTTTGACTTGGAAATGTGCTTCGCGCCACAACGGCGTGCACTTTTTCGACATCTCAACTTCCAAAAGTGGTCCGAACATGGTTTGTTTTGTACATTTTGACTTGGAAGTGTGCTTCGCGCCACAACGGCGTGCACTTTTTCGACATCTCAACTTCCAAAAGTAGTCCGAACCCCTGGTGTTTTTAACATTTTGACTTCGAAATGTGCTTCGCGCCACAACGGCGTGCACTTTTTCGACATCTCAACTTCCAAAAGTGGTCCGGCGCTGACGTGTTTTGTACATTTTGACTTCGAAATGTGCTGCGCGCCACAACGGCGTGCAATTTTTCATCTCTCATCTGGCCAGCTGGCTCCGCACCCGCCGCTTTAGCGAGCCTACTTTTCGACCCTCCGGAGCCCCAAATCATTGGAAAAACACAGTGGTTCGCGACTTCCGACAATATGGACAGATGAAGTGTAGTGGAGTGTACTGGAAGGTAGTGTAGTGTAGTGCAATGTAGTGTAGTGTAATGTAGTGTAGTGTAGTGTAATCTAGTGTAGTGGAGCGTAGTGGAAGGTAGTGTAGTGTAATGTAGTGTAGTGTAGTGTAATGTAGTGTAGTGTAGTGTAGTGTAATTTAGTGGAGTGTAGTGGAGTGTAGTGGAGTGTAGTTGTGTAGTTGTAGTTGTAGTTGTAGTGTAGTGGGGTGTAGTGTAGAGTAATGTAGTGAAGTGTAGTGGAAGGTAGTGTAGTGTAATGTAGTGTAGTGTAATGTAGTGTAGTGGAGTGTAGTGTAATGTAGTGTAGTGTAGTGTAATTTAGTGTTGTGGAGTGGAGTGTAGTGGAATGTAGTGGAGTGTAGTGGAGTTTAGTTGCGTAGTTGTAGTTGTAATGTTGTGGAGTGTTGTGTAGTGTAATGTAGTGTAGTGTAGTGGAGTGTAGTGTAGTGTAGTGTAACGTAGTGTAGTGTAGTGAAGCGAAGCGACGCGACATCTGAACCTCCAAAAGTGGTCCACACCCCTGGTGTTTTTAACATTTTGACTTCGAAATGTGCTTCGCGCCACAACGACGTGCACTTTTTCGACATCTGAACCTCCAAAAATGGTCCGTACATGGTATGCTTTGTACATTTTGACTTGGAAATGTGCTTCGCGCCACAACAAAAGTCGTCCGACACTGAGGTGTTTTGTACATTTTGACTTCAAAATGTGCTTCGCGCCACAACGACGTGCACTTTTTCGACATCGCAGCTTCCAAAAGTGGTCCGAACCCCTGGTGTTTTTAACATTTTGACTTCGAAATGTGCTTCGCGCCACAACGGCGTGCACTTTTTCGACATCTCAACTTCCAAAAGTGGTCCGGCGCTGAGGTGCTTTGTACATTTTGACTTCGAAATGTGCTTCGTGGCACAACGGTGTGCAATTTTTCATCTCTCATCTGGCCAGCTGGCTCCGCACCCGCCGCTTTAGCGAGCCTACTTTTCGACCCTCCGGAGCCCCAAATCATTGGAAAAACTCAGTGTTTCGCGACTTTCCTACCTTTTCGCGCATCTGCATCTTCTTTCTTCTTACTCTTTCTCTTCTACTCTTCTTTCTTCTAATCTTTCTCTTCTCTCTGCCTCTTCCCTGCTCTGCTTTTCATCTGTCGATATTGTCGGAAGTTTGACTTCTAAACTTCCTTCGATTATGTTTATATAGTTGCTTATTATTATTGTGTTTTTTCATGTTTATTATGGTTATTATTTTACTTTTTTTATTGTGCGTTTTTATTTTTATTTTTTTCTTTTACTATTTTTGTACGATTATTCATTATGTTGTTTTAGTTTGTTTTTATTTTCTTATTTTTGTTTTCTATTGTTGTTTATCGTTTTTATTTTTTCTTAATTGCGTTTTTATTTTTCCATGTTTTCTACTTTTTTGTTTTCATGTATTATTTGTTGTTTATTTGTTTCGTTTTGTATTTGTTTCATTTTTCCTTATTTCCGCGGAAATTCTCTAAATTCAAGGCCTGGCCTTGAACTTTAAGAAATTTCGCCTTTTTCCACCATTATTTTCAAGAAAATTTTGAAAATCAATGTTGGTTTTTGAAAAATCCTAATGGGCTTTGCTTTTTCCACGTTGATTTTTCGAGGAAAAAATGAATTTCAACATGTTGAAAAATAATCGTGGAAAAACGTCGCAATTCCTTAAACTCAAGGCCGGCCATTGAATTTAAGCAAATTCCGCGGAAATAGGGATTTGTTTTTTGAAAAATAGGAAAAAATAAAAAATGAAAAAATGAAGTAAAAGCAAAAGATATAAATTTGTACAAATAATCATTGTTTAAAAAAAAGAAAATAATGTCTTTTTCGAAAAAAGGTAAGATATAAAAATGAAAAATGAAAACATTGAAACAAATGAATAAATGACATATTTTTAAAAATCCAATGCATATTCGTAGTGTCTAGTTTTGAGTTTGCTTTCAAATTGGTGGAAGCAATGTTCTTTGAGCGACAATCCAAATGCTCAAAAGTGGCGCTGCGGCGGGCCTTTTTTAAGATTCATAGAAAAGATTTTTCGTTGGCAGGCGGCAAGGCTGCTGTCTGCAAAAAAATGTCAAAATAGTTTTTAACACCATACATGCTAAAACAAAACAACCAAGAAAAATAAGCATGAACCTGGTTAAACAAAATTTTCAAACAAAAGCGGACAGACTTGAAGAATTAAAGAATGTATATAGATTATTTCCATTTTCATGCCCAACACCAACAGCTGCTGCTGTGGAGCAAGTCCAATGAGTTGTTGTGAGATGTTGTAAGTATTTGTTTTGGATGATTTCTTTAGGTGCCTGCATTCGTTTCTTTCTGACTCCTGCTATTTTCTGCGCATACTTTATTTTGTTCTACGCTCTGAACATCTACTAGTTTGCCACCCAACTTCTTCACAAAATGAGTCATGTGGATGGCTGCGGTTACCTGATTCAATACAATTTGCTCAAAACCCTTTCAAACTCGATTTCAATCCGAAACAATTGGTTTGCAAATATCCTAAAACCTTATTTGCGTGTCCTTGAATTATATGAAAGTTTACAACGCACACAAACACACACACATTATGTATGTATGTATGTATGTACATATATATATATATACGTATATATACTCCATCTTTGCACAATGAACTCCCGGCACCAGTGCACCCATCCCAACGCAAATCCGGTCCCATCATCAATGATGGCATTCACTCCAGGCACCTGCCACGGTCAAACCATCACATTGACATGACATCAGCAAAGTCATGCACTGGTCATGCAAAGTCAGTAAGTCATGCTGGGACCAGCGCATTGATGTACATTGTGGGTTTGTATAGCAACGGTTGGGACAATGTGGAGAAAACTCCTGGGGCTCTTCTTGATCAATAAAACAACTCTTTGAAACTTATCCTCTTTCCATCTTTTTCCTTTAGCATTGATTTGTTTTACCATTGACTTGTGAAAGCCTTGAAGCAAAAGCCCGCAGCCTACCAGCATTCCACAAGATTGGTCAGCTCTATTCAGTGGTAGGAGCTTGCGGCTACAAACACTCGGTCTGCAGGTGGACCCACAATCTGGATTGCGTGAAGTAGTAGTACACGAAATGTAGATGTGTATGATGATTTGCTGTTGCGAAATCCGTGAAAACATGGTGAAAATTAATGAATTACAGTACTTGAGGAAGGTAGGAAAGCGTGATCTGAGTTGAAAGCTCAAAGACAAGTCTCTGTTCACAAGCGTGGACGGGGTTGAAAATGACAAATGATTTATGACGCCTCATGCTAGCCCTCACCACTGCAAAACAGAATCTGGCCTCTGAGAACAACAGTGAACAACATGTAGCACCAGCAAAAGGCTGTGCAGAGGTGCATCTGCACATGCTGGAGAATTGCAGTACAGTGCCTTTCAGCAGCCTCGTCGCCCTTCCCTTCCCCCTGTACCAAACCTATGCTTAGCTAGGGGCAACAAGTCTACCTTTGCACTTGCTTTGGACAGGGTTTCCTGCTTATGAAATTGCGGGAATGTGTAAGGAGTAAGACTTGTTTTGGCAGGAGCTCAAAGATTCTGACAGTGACATTGAAGGAGAGGAGACGGGGCAAAGCCTTCAGTCTGGGGCAGGATCTTTCAATTCGTCTAGAGGGTGAGCATTGTAGGCTGTGTGAAGTGCAGGAGCAGGAAGAATCTGCTGCGACAATCGATATTTACAAACTGATCATCTTTCGTGCACGTGTTCAGAAGAGCCAGCCCGGAATATGTATATATGTATATATCATTATCATTATTACTATTATTGGCATTATTGTTGTTATTATCATTATTGCCGAAATAATGTGTGTATAGTATATGCATGTATACAATGTTGTATGATGTGTTCATATATATATATGTGTGTGTCTATATATATATATATATGTGTATATATATATGTGTGTAAATATATATATATATACATATACATATATGTATATGTATATGTAGATGTATATGTATATGTATATGTATGTATGTAATGTAATGTAATTTAAATGTAACGTCATGTAATGGGAAATGTAAAGGTAAATGTAAATGTAAATGTATTGTAATGTAATGTAATGTAATGTAATGTATGTATATACATATATGGTCACCCCCCTCATGATCTACCTAGAAGCATTCTATATGTATATATTTTACAATATATATATATACATCAAACGCGGCTCTGGATAAAATTCAAACAAACAAATTTAGGTAACGCTAACGCAAGCTTCTTTGGAGGTGTTACAACATAATTGATAATTAATGAATTTTGTGCATCTCCGGCCTCTGCAATAGCCAAGCAAGTAGCCTTATTCAGCCAGGCTCCAAATCCGTGGCTGAGCACGAAAAACACAAAGCGAATCGCAGTCGTCAATCTATTCAGCGCCACACTTTGGCAATCAGAGAGAGCAAACCCAGCTGTGAACCATGCATTTTCAGGAACAAGTCCTGCAAGCACACCAGAGGGCCCAAATAACTTTGTCCTCAGGTCCCTCGTCAAGGGCAACCGGTGTCAACCGGTGTCACAGTCAAAGCTTGGGAAACCCTATGAAACTTTATGAAACCCTTGAGACTTGTGGCCCTTGCCTTGTATTTGGAACGGAGCTTCAAAGACTCTGTCATGTCAACCTCCTTGGTTCACCGAGTCATGTCATGTGTGAATCGCGCAAATGAACTGCAAACATTGCCTGCCATGTGCCTGCCATCAACGAATTGTTTGCACAAACACTGTACGTGACCAAGGCAAAGCCGCCTGGAAAGTGGAAAGCTGAGCAGCAGTATTCTGCGTCTCCTGGGCGACGCCAATCAATGATCAAACAAATCGTCTCACCTCCCTTCCCGATCCCATCGATTGGAAAATGTGTTCTCCTGATATTTGGGGACTTGGATTTGTATCGAGACTCTAGTTTTCAAAGACTGACAAACATACACAGAGACACAAACAAAACAAGCAGTATCGACATAGACCTTGCTGGCAATGCCTAGTCCATCTCTACAAAACGATGCAGTATTTTCCTTACTCTTGGCTGTTCTGGTACAAGTCACATCTCAGGTAATCAATCAGCAGTGGATACCATGAGATATCGGCAGGAGGGTCATTGTAGGTTAAACAGTTAAACATTGTTAAACACTTCAAGAAACGTTTCAAGAGCGTAACAATTCTAAACATGGTCCAAGAACGTCTGAAGTTCTTTAGGAGCTGAATATTATGACAACAAGCAAGGTTCAGTATAAACATTTGCTCTTGATGGTGGCAACTGCCACCATTGCTATGAAATTCGTGAGAAGTCTTCAATGGGAGGACAAAAAAAAAGATCTGCCGAGATCCACATATTGAAAATTCCAAAGGCGGACTCCGAACATCCGGGAAGTCTTTGCTCGTTCCGTCCGTGTGGCGAAAAAGAAAGAAAGGAAACCAAATTGAAAAGAATAAGAAATCAAATTGAAATTAAAAAGGAAATCAGTTAAATCAGGGAAATCAAATCCTGCGGCAGTCTTCCTCCGCGCCTTGAGCCTCTTCATCACCCGCTGCCGAACGAAAGATACCGGCACACGTCGTTCAGTGCGGCCCTAGAATGGGCAAAAATGGTGCAGAAATGTGCAAAGTATTAGCTCAGGTGACTCAGGTGTGACAAAGCATTTCAAAACACAATGATGTAGTGTACAATATGTTTCAATATACTTAAAGGCAGTGAGGTCAGGTGCTTCCAGCTTGCTCATTGCAGGCTAAGGCCTCTCCAACACTTACTGCTGCTGGGGCATTCCCAACTGTAGCAGAGGCAGTTGCAGAAGGAGCCTTCAAACCAGAAGATGCGACATCAACTTCAAATAAGAATCTTCCAGGTCATTATGAATTTGGATCTCTTGGAACCTCTGTAAAAGAAGTCTGGTCACAAGATGCAGTTCCCTTCCCCAAAGGATGCTACATAGCGCTAAATGGGGATTTCAAGGGCAAAAGTTGCGCCCGGTTTCAAGACCGTGAGCATGCAGGATATCACTTTGGCTGTGACAGTTCACATTTGTTTCAAGGTTTCTGTTTGTAGGAAGATCGCTTGAAAAGTGGGCAGAGCTTAGGTTTCACACCAGGACCACCAATACCATCAGGACCACTTGGTGTGCCTCTGCTGGCATTCCGAGGCGTTCTGCAGCCAAGCGAGCAAATGTTGCCCTCAGACCGGTCAATCCTGCCAGGACAATATAGCTCTGCCAAGACATTACAAAGGAATACAAAGGCTTAGAAGATGATAATAATTAGATAAGAAGGCAACTGGCTGACACACGGAACTGCCAGGACGCCTGATACTGGTAGGTCACACTATGATTTTTGCAGTTTTGTCTCGACAAGTGAGAGTGAATGGATTTGCACTTATCCGCCGTTCAGAAAGCAACGTCAAGCAGCACAGGCCGTTGCCCGGGCTCGTTCCGGCCCTCAGTGCCATGCTGTTTGACTGTGGCGAAGGCGCTCTTTTCGGGCCTTGGCCACTGGGCGTTTCGAGGCTTGGCGGCGGGCAGGTTTTCGACCTTTGCTAGCTGTGCATTTCGAAGCTTGGCGGCGGGCAAAAGAAAAAGAGGCTAGTTCTTGGAAGCTGGCAATGCAGGAAGGCAAGCAAATTGAACGTTTGAAGCTAGTTTCTAAGCAGTTCAGAAAGCAACGTTTGGCACTATGGGCCGGCCGCGGGCCCGATCCGTGGTGTTTAAGCCCTGCGGGACGGTCCTTTGACCGGAGCTGTGCAGGACGAAAGCCAGCTGGAAGAGGAAGCAAGCAAGTTGGAAGCTGGCAGTGCAGGAAGGCAAGCAAATTGAAAGTTTCAAACTAATTTCTAGGCAGTTCAGAAAGCAACGTTTGGTACCTCAGAAGCGTCTCCAAGAGCAGAATCCCGGCCCCCCCATTTTGAGGGTACCTAGAATCGGAAAAAAATGCCGTTTGACACATTTTTCGGACGATTTTTAGCTTTTCGAAATTGACAAAATGCTGCAAATTACAGCATTTGTGCGGTTTAACGCCTTTTGCGGGACCAATGCAAAAACGCAGCAAATGTTGTAAATACCGATACTTTTTAAACTAGAGATGCACAAAACACTGCAAATACCAGCGTTTTTGAAAGCAAAGAAAAAACTCTGTAACTTACAGCATTTTTGGCGTGTTGATCGCAAAAAATGCTAGTATTTACACAGTTTTTGCAATTTCAAGAAAACGTGGAAGGCACGAAATAGCGGTGTTTTGGCCACTTTTGGACGCAGAAACATTGGTATTTACACAGTTTTTTGCCCGTGACGGCGCCAAACCCTTGTAAATTACAGCATGTTTAGCACTTTTTGAACCGTTTTTTTGTTTTGATGAACGCAAAAAACGCTGGTATTTACGCGTTTTCCAAAAAATCGAACATCGTGACGTGAACGAAACCCTGTAAATAACAGTGTTTCAGCCACATTCGGGGACTAAAACTGTGGTATTTACGCGGGTTCTTGCCATCTGACAGCGCAAAATGTTGTAAATTACAGCACTTTGTGCGCTGCTTATGTGCAATTTTTAAACGCGCGATGCTTTCACATGTTCTTTGCATTCTTCCACAAGAAAGAACGTTGCAGATTGAAACTGGACGACAGCGTGACCCGAAAGAAAGCTGGAGGGAGGAGACGCACAGAAGCTTTATACACACAGGGGCTTTTACACAGAGAAGGCTTTAAACAGACGGGCATTTTACACACAGAAGGTTTTACACAGAGAAGTCTTTCCTCTAAGGAGCTTTTGCACACAAACGTCTTGGAGCTTTTACACACAAAAGCTGTTACACAAAGAAGTCTTTACAGCTTTAACACACAAACGCGTTTACACACAGAAACTTTTACACAGAGAAGCCTTTACACAGAGAGTGTTTACACACGGAAGCTTTTACACACAGAGAAATCTTTACACAGACGCGCTTTCACACAGAGAAACTTTTACACAAAGAAGTCTTTACACAGAGAAACTTTTACACACAGAAACTTTTACGCACAAAAGCTTTTACACAGAGAAGTCTCTGCACAGAGGCGCCTTTACACGAAGTAACACGTTGAAATTGGCAGCAGTCACACTTCTTTAGGAAAAACCCTTCGCAGGAGCTTTCGGGAACTCACTTGCTCGCAAAAAAAACCGTCTATTTCCAACAAATATGTTCCAAAACACCAAAGGAATATATTTCTGAAGCAGGTCTTCATTCAATACCTTTCAAGCCCAAACTGCGATGAAATGGAAGACCGGGTAGTCCGGCGGAGCCGACGATGAGCGTCAGCTCAAAAATTCGGCTCCGCCGGCTCATTACCCCCATCCCAGGGACTGAAGTCCCTGTAATTTATGGTGTAGTTTGCTCGCGGCGTTCACAAACATCGTTTTTGTACGGTGTTTCGGGCCCTTCAGCGGCAAGGGATTTCATCTTGGCGATGTTAAAAAACATCGGTTTTTACGTGGTTTTGGGCTCCGGGAGGGGGCCCGGGGCGGAAAAATTGGCATCTTACGATCGTTTCAACATAGATGGCCCAAACATGGCCCCAACATCGCTCCCAAGATGGCTCAACATGGGCCAACATAGGCCCAACATAGGCCGGGCACAACCTGCGCTCAACATAGGCCCAGACTGCTTCCATACAGGCAAGGAGTGCGCATTATGCCTGCCTCAATTCAACATAGCCCTCCCTGGGTTTGCGCGGAGAATCTCGGCCCAATCTTTCCACACCATAAGCCAAAAGTCGTTGCTTGGCCGGCGCCCGGCTGTCAGGCGTAAGCCTTTATATTGTTCAACGCAATAGTGAGCTGATAGGGCGCAATCCAGAAACTGATGATGACGACAATGCAAACGGCTACAGAAAGCAAAGGAATGCAAAGGATGAAAGGATTCAAATGGAAATCTGCACGATGGGGAAGGGAATGATGCTGTAATTCAGGATCGCAGGATGACGAGGATGGACGGGAAGGGTCAGCAGGTGGGGGAATTCAAACATCAAAGCAATTCAAAGCCAATTCAAAGTACCTCCAAACTAAAAATGTCACTTAGCCACAGCCACCACCCCGCAAGCATGAGGCTATGTTGTTCAGTGGCTTTCGCCGGTCCGTCAGGTTTATGCAGCTGGCCAGGTGCAGGAAATCTACACTCTACGGCAAGGCTTCCGGTCTTGAAAGCCCCCACTGACCACTGTCCTGCTGAGCTGAGATGGCGTACCTGGGAAGAAGATGGGAAAACGATGGAAAACAACTTCGTATGATTTCATGAATAGATTATCCTAGAAATGCAGAATGAATGCACGAATATGGCATGGCATGGCATGGCATGGCACCTGCAAACCGTACGGTCTTGGAGTCACAAAGCTTCCTCGGTGAAAGGGGCAGTCTCAAAACTCGAACAACTCTTCTGTTGCTTCAAGGCTTTGTTGCTCCACCCAGAATGAGGCATGGACGACACGAAGAAGTTTCCAACACCTTGAAAAGCCCAGATTAAAATAAGAAAATCCTGTCTGTACATCATTTATTCAGCTGATTTTACCAAGAGCTGTTCTTGTATTGTTGTATTGTTGTCAGCGTCTTGTTGAGAACCATCCAACAAGGTGTCCACACGTGTGCATACAACGTCTGAGGCAAGAGCATGGCAGGCATACTGTATGCGAGGTAACCGTACTGACCTAGCTGCTTTGTTAGCCGCGGCCATTGGGACCTGCAACAACCACCCACACATATCCGCACTCACAATCAGCACTTATAGTGACTTAGTCGCGTGTGTCCTGAGCCTATTTCGCCAGATGGTGCTGTTCTTAGTGCTGCAAGGATCTGCAAGGTGTTTCAGGAAATTCAGTCTTAAGTTCAGAGGTTATCTGACCTAAAGAGGGGTGCGCAGTTCTTCAGTGACAGCACTAAAACTAGGTTCCCTAATGAGGAGTAGCTTCTTTTGCAGGTCTAGACGTCCTCATTTGATGTGTGCATAGCCTAAGCCTAAGCATGAACCAGGGTGTTCTTGGAGGGACGAGTTCTGACGAGTTCTCTGTAATTCTTGCAATTCTTACATCCTGTTTCTACCTCCTTAGATTCTAGTCTGACGGTCTGACCAATCACTACATTGTCACTGACATCTCAGCATCTCGTACGCAGATTCATATTCCAAATCCGTGGATTCAAGTTCAGTCGGGCTTTTAACTTCGCGACATTTTGCGACTTTTAGTCTTCACACTGTGATTCATGCTGTGACTCACGCGAGTTTCAATCGTGAGGTCAAGTCAAGTGGTCCTGGCCTCGAAAAGACTTGAGTCTTTGCACTCATCCGCCACGCTACTTGAGCCATGCAAACAAAGCCCACATGAGTCCACAGTGGACAGTCCACATGAGTTCTGGTGCGGTGGAATTGATATGATATGCTGCAATCACCAATGGCTTCCTGCATCGTAAGGCTTAGAAAACTTCAGCATGAGGATGCAGTCACTCAAATTGTTTGGTAACTTATGACTTATGGTAAGAGAATGATGAGGCAACCTTGGGAATATCTTTAAAGCGACTCTGTTGTACGACCCCCCATCGACCCTGTAACAACGACCAGGAGGAGACGGAAAAGGACAAGGGCAAGGGGGACGGATCAACAACCAACACAATTAGGACGACTATACAAACGACCACCATGCAACAGCGCTGCTACTACCTGGAACCATTCCTCCCAGTCTTGACCTACTTGAATTATCACTACCCCTACCTCCGGTGTTTCTCATCATTCGACTTCTGCTGTAACGACCACCGCTACTGATCCGAAGGCAAACTCTGACAAATAAACTAGCCTGGCTGGCATCTCTAAATGAAGCAACAACAAACTAGCACCGCCAAAACGGTTCACAGTTCCCAGCGCAACTTTGCCGAGCATCAAGAACTCCTGTTCTTTCTGTTACAACTTACAACCCAAACTTCCCAATCGTCTGTAACTCACACTTCAAGGAGGCAAAAAGAAGAAATGTGAAGAAAAGAAAGTAGGACCTCCAACATACTGTGAATGAATGTTGCAGCACCATTCCGAAGCCCAAACAGCTTCATATTTCTGGCGGTGGTCACGAACACAAGACTCAACCCGGAAGCAAAGGGGAGGACTACAACAGAAAAAGGGCGGAAGGATCCTTATCTATTCGCTAAAAGCGCAAACTACGGATCTGTATTATGCTGCACGACGCGCACTCGCGGCCCTTTTAAAGCAGGGATGCGAGAACTGTCAACAATTTCTCGGACCTTGGGGCCTTTAGCAACTATTTAGTAACAATTATATATATATACATGAATACTGCTTCCGAACTTCACTTGAGACCTCTGGGAAGCTTCTGGAACCGATACTGTTTGGCATCTTTTCTTGCACTTGCAAGCTTGACCTGGACTGCAGCCTTTTGGAATCTTCTGCATACCAGCATACTCTCCTCCTTTTGGAACATTCAGTACCCTACCTTGAAACCTTTCTTGGGAATTTATGAACCTTCTGGAACTCTGTGCCTGCAGGGGGGTGCAGCCCAACTTTCTCCTAAACTTGAATTGGACAAGGCCAAAAAGTTCGGCTTGTCTGTGTGGCACGGTGTGGCATCGCGTGTGTCTGTCTGTGTGTGTGTTATAATGAGGCATCGCATCAGATTGTGTGTGGCTGCTGACTACTGCCGAGGCCGCCTCCAAGACCACCTTGGACTGAAAAGCACACAGAAAAACAAAAACAACCAAAAACAACCTGGTAATCTATTCTTTCCATTTCTTTCCATGGAGTCTCTGGCTGCGCTGAGTGAGCGACTACAAATCTTTGGGTCCGGTTGTCCAGCACAGACACAATCCTTCCAAGCTGCTTGAAAAAAACTATTGCAAAAGGACAACCCAATTTACGTTGCTGGCCCCTGTGGAACATGTTTGGGGCATCACTTTAATTTCAGGACAAGGTGTCGCCAAGGGACCTTTGTCTCAAAAGGTTCAAGGTTCTGTAAAGTTAATTTAAAGCTAAGACTGTCATAGATATCTTGGAGTAAGCCTGGGAGTATGAACACTCCCCAGAAACAAGATGAAAATCGTGGTTTTGGCCCTGGCCAAGCAGCCGGCCGAACCCCCGGCAAACTAGGCGGCAACATGCCGGTCAAGTTAGCAAAAATCCGAGGCAAAAAAGAGCAGCAAACCGAGTAGAAATGTTGCCTCGAAAGGCACAACCTGGCACCAACATAAATTATTTATCATTATTTGCTTCCAAGTTGGGATGCGCCTGGCATTACTTCAATAGTTCACTGCCGGACACCAGGCGCATACCGGGTTTTCATTATCGCTTTTAGCGCCTGCCAAGCTGACGGTTAAAGGTCTCCAGCGTCCAGCGCCGCACATTGGACTGGACAAGTTGGTTGCGTGGGCCTTGATTTCACAGCAAAGCTGCTCAAGCAGCCGCCGCCCTCAGGCAAGCAGTGCTGAGCTGACAATTCAGCTGAAAACTGTTTTGGAAAAAGAACGCTTAAATTGTGACTAGTTGCGACAGGTCTTGCGTTGGAGACGGCGGGGGCTTGGCAGAAACTTGGGAAAAAGAACTTGTAACTTGATGCAAACCTGACGGCTTCGCGCTAACCTTGCAGAAGCCCGAGGCTGGCGGAAACCCGCCCGGAACCTACCAAAACCCGGCGAAGCCGGGCGGAACCCAGCGGAACCCGGCGGAACCTGGCGGAAACCTGGCGGAAACCTGGCGGAACCCGGCGGAAAAAAAGTAAGTTAAAGGGGGGGGTGGTTGGGAGTATAACTTTTGGCATGGCTTATACTCCCAACCCCCCCCCCTTCAATGCCCTTCAACTTACTTTTTTTTCCGCCAAGTTTCCGCCAGGTTCCGCCGGGTTCCGCCGGGTTCCGCCGGGTTCCGCCGGGTTCCGCCGGGTTCCGCTGGGTTCCGCCGCTCCGCTGGGTTCTGCTAGGTTCCGCTGGGTTCCAGGCTTTCGCCAGGCCAGCTTGTGCCGGGTTCTGCCGTTTCCGCCAACAAGGTTCCTGCTACCGACTCCCCCTTCAATTCATTGCTAGGATTGTACCAGGTTCTTGTCAGGCGTCTGTCAAGGTTGCAGCAATCAAAGAAGCGTTTTTTGCAAGTGCCCGGACATTGTCCAAGTCGGCTTATGGAAAAAATCACCAATAAGATGGCATTCCTGGTGGAGTAGCAGATCTTGTTTGCTGTGACCCCATGAAGAGGGATGCAATATTGATTTTCGATTTTCATTGTTCAGCTTTTCCACGTTGAAACGTGCCAACATGTACCAAATTTCATTGACTTTTGCGTTGAACACATTTGCCATTGAAAATGACCGTAAATTTGGCTTGGCCAGAGCTAGTTCGCGCGCCTTGCCGGGCCTCTTGCAGGCACATTTGCCCCTAATTTTGCTTGTCCATCAATGGTTCGGATGGTCTGCCATACGACTTGCCGGCACAAATGCCATGGCTTTTCGTTCCCACAGAGTTAACCACAGGTTCTGCCGCTAAGTTTGCCGGCCACAAAACCAAAGAAATCGGGTTGCGCCAGCCCTTCTGCCGGTGGTTTTACCATCCCTTTAGCCACAGTTTTGGGTCAGTTTGGCCCAAAAAGTAATTATGAGTGTTTATACTACCTCGCTACTTTCAATAGATATCCCAAGGCCTTACAGAAGTGATGCTACAGTAAGCAATCTTTTCGGAAGAGAAATGTACGAATTTAATTGCAGCAGCGACAGCGAAGTTTCTCCACTTGGTCCTGTCAGACAAGTCAGGGAGAGCATCAGTTGAATCGGAGTGGATCAGTCCAGCAAGCTCAGAGAGTTCACTTAGTGCACGTCGCTGCTGTGCCGACCAGCACCTTGAAAGAGAACACAAAACAAGAAAATGGGACGCATCATGACGCATCATGAGGCATCCATGTCTGCTTAACTCGTCTCAATGTGTTGCGAAACAATGGGGAAATGCTTTCCTCTCGGAGCGTTAGACTGGCGTTAGACTGACGCTTTGCCAGCGCCTCTGTTGTCCGAGACAATTCATTTCAATAAATCGGTCGGTGCGAGCCGAAAGCTACAAAGAGATGCGGAATCTGTTTAACCCTGGAGCGTAACTCAGAACATGTAAGTCAATGTAAGTATGGAAACCAGCCAAAATCTGTGGCTCCCTTCGTCTTGTACAAATGTCCAGCCATGCCCATTGATCGGGGCACTTGGCAATTGCTTTGCTTCCTGCGCAATTTCACTGTTTATGTGAGAACTGAGTCACCACCCCGCAAGGAGTAACTGGTCGGTATGTATGTATGTATGTATGCATGCATGCATGCATGCATTGTGATGTGGTGTGATGTCATGTCATGTCATGTCATGTCATGTAATGTAATGTAATGTAATGTATGTATGCATGTAGGTGTGTATGTATGCATGCATTCATGCATGTAGGTATGTAAGTATGTAGGTATGTAGGTATGTACATATGTAGGTAGGTAGGTAGGTACGTACGTACGTACGCACGTAGGTATTAATGTATGTAATGTATGTAATGTATGTAATGTATGTAATGTATCTAATGTATGTAATGTATGTAATGCATGTAATGTATGTCATGTATGTAATGTATGTAATGTATGTCATGTTCATAATGTATGTAATGTATGTAATGTATGTAATGTATGGTATGTATCATATGTATGATATGTATGTAATGTAAGATATGTATGGTATGCATGGTATGCATGGTATGCATGGTATGCATGGTACGTATGGTACGTATGGTACGTATGGCATGCATGGTATGCATGGTATGCATGGTATGCATGGTATGCATGGTACGTATGGTATGCATGGTACGTATGGTACGTATGGTAGGTATGGTGTGTATGGTCTGTATGGTATGTAACGTATGTATGTATGTATGTATGTATGCATGCATGCATGCATGTATGTATGTATGTAGGTAGGTAGGTAGGTAGGCAGGTATGTACGTATGTACGTATGTACGTATGTACGTATGTCAATGCATGCATGCATGTATGTATAGTTGCATCGTGATTTCCATTGTAGTTGCCACTCTTATGAGCTTCAAGCTCACTCCTCTGCAGGGTATTTGCAGTATGTTGAAGCATTTTGAAACCCACATTAAGACAGTTCTTTTGCCTGGTAATTGCAGTAGTTTGGTGCTGATCGTTGTGGCACTTTCGGATATTTTGTTCTGAAATTAAGATGTTGCGCCTGTATGATATTTTCAGACAACGCGTCTCGTTTGCATAATACTTGCAGCCATTGGGGACTGAGACCTTCTCTGGTGGCGCGGGCAGTATACGTGTGGAACAAGCGCTGATTTCAGGGCACG